AGTGGGCAGGACAGAAAAGCCTTTACTCTGGTAAAAGCACTGGGACTGTCACCTCCCCTACAAGGAGGCACAGAGCCAAATTTCACATTGCCTGTTCAGTTGCTGTCTATAGACAAAACTTCAAACCCAGTGGTATTTTGGAAGCCTATGAGTCTGCGTTTAGCAGTGCATCATAGATCATGATTAAGAAAGAAGCATAAGATAATAGCGTATTGGATAAAGCATCCAAATGGAAGGGCAATGTTGTTTTCTGAAAAATCTGAACTGTTTCCAGCACTTAATTGCTTTGCCCCTCACAACTAAGTTCCACAGCAAAAGCTTACATAAATCAAAGCAAATTGCCATACGGAATTTCATGTCTGTGCAACAGGGTCAGATATGATTGCCCTACCTTTACATCACATTTGTCTGTATACATTTCAGTATTTGCCAGACTACCATTACCATCAAATTAAATTGAAATAGATGAACACCTTTTATTGATTCAAAAAAGCATAGGAGTGTGAATCTCTCGGGGTTCAATACTTCAAGATTAAGAGCATAATTCCAGGCTCTGAAGTATTTTTTTCCCCCTGTAAAAGACTTTTAGTTTGTCATAAAATTAGGATGGGGAAAGTTCTTACTACTTTTGCAATATCCATTACCTGTATTTTAGGAAAAGGTGTGCAGAAGTTCACCGAACCTCTCAGAGTTCAATACTTCAAGATTAAGAGCATAATTGTTCACAGTGCTGTTCCCACAGTAAAGCTGCCTGTTTAAACCATTTCCTTGCTTTGTAATTCACTATTTCCTCTGGAGTTTGCTTCTCTTTCACTTCACAGGTGTATTTCTGCTGGAACTTTATTTTACAGAAGGGCACTCCCAGAACTTCTAGGCCAGGAGGCATCCGTGATTTCTCTATGCACAGTGAGAAACTCTCCTCCTCAGGCTTTGCAGACAGATCCTCCTACCACACTGCAAACAGGGTTTGCACAAGCTCTTTCTTGCAATGACAGCATTTTTCAATATAGGAACATTTGAAGAAAACCAAACAAAATGAAGACTGCATATTTTTCTTTTAGGAGTATGTTTTATGCTACTGATCTGCTCTTATGTTCTCTGACTTAGTTGTGACCAAGCCTGTACAGAGCAAGCCTGGGCCTTCCCTGCTGGGTGTTCACAGCCTCCTGGGGAAGGTTTCGCCTCCCTTGCTTATGTAAGTGTCAGTGTCTTGAGTCCAGCGGTTTGGAGAGGATTACGCCCTGCTGATGGATCCGTAAGTGCTCTGGTTGTCCCATGCGAGGTCATCCCCTAGCCCCCGTCTCCAAGAAAAGCACACGAAGTTAAAACTCAAGAGTACTCACATTCCTTTCCCACACTCGCGCAGAAGCAGAGACCCTGTCTGCCAAGAAAGAGGTCAAATGTGGTATTCCTGTGGACGACTTCAAACAGAGCTAAAAGAAACACTGAACCTTACTTAGAAAGGCATGTGAAGGAAATTAGTGGAGAGTGCTTCATCTTTCAGAATTAAAGAAATTTCTCTGCCTGAAGAGGCTGATGCAGTTCAAATGATGTTAAAATTATACAGAAAGTGCAAGCTTGCAACTCTGTGCACAAACAGCCACCCCCCGAAAAATGGCAGCTACAATAAACTGCAGGATAAGCTGCTCACGCTCTGTGTTAAGGTCATTGGCAGTTTCCTACCACGAGGCTTTCCCCCATGTAAAAGGCCCGTGTAAAAAAGTGGTAGTTACCATTTTAGTCTTAGCTATCATCTTAACCATTACTATGTATTTGCCTCCAGCCAGTTCTTAGAAGATCAGCCAAAAAAAGTTTAGATTTTTTTCCTTATTTAGATTTCTGCAATCCTTTTCCAAAAGGGAATTGCTTCAGATTCAAAAATATTATTTTTGGCACTTCCATAGGCCAAAGAGTCCCTGTGTTTGAAAGAGCACCAAGTGTGGCCAAGTACTATGTCTTGTACATTTTACTCTTGCTACTTTTCCAGAGAAGACAGCTTATGGTGCTGCCCACTTTCACCAAAGCAGATGCCTGTGCACAGCCCTGGCCTCGCACGCACGGGCTTGTCTGCTCTGCTCCTTTCTCAGGAGCCTGATGCTCGAGATGAGGATTTTGGGAGCTGGTGCCGGGGCAGCTCTGCTGCTTTGAGCAGCTCTCACACACGGCCCCCAAACCCCGCACTGCTCCTCCGCCTTTGCAGAGGATGATAGTGCAGTGCTTACTCACGGCTAACACTCAGAGCAAGGCAGACTTGTGCCTATGGGATTTCAAGGGAGTCCTGCTTCACAGTATTAGCTTCTATGAGGTACTGAAAATACTAAACACCTGGTTTGGCCCATCTCCAGACACAGGCATTGCTCTTCACTAAATAAACATGTTTCTTGGCCACTTCAGGACCAATTTTTCAGCAGCAAGTTCATGAAATAATAAGCAAAAACCTACAAGTCCCTCAGTCCCAAATACAGGGGACAGCCTTGTAAGCTGGAAAAACCTAGCCTAGTTTAGCAATATTTTCCCAACTAAGACCCTCGTCTTTCAACTCTTTCATTTGAAAGGAATACTGATAGTTATTGGTTTCTTTGCTGTTCATTGCAAATTTAAGCTGTGTTTTCACTGCAAAAACTCTGAGTTAGAAGAAATATGCCTGCTATGTGGTTAGGTCAAGTTCTAGTCTTGTTATCTTGTTACTGTAAAGGAATTAAAAATATTAAATCAATTTTGAAACTGATATATGCAAAAAAGATCTATCAAAGAGCACTAGTCAGTGAATTTATACAGTGTTCAAGTACAGGGTTTTTTATTTCTTTTTTCAGTAAAGAATCTCTCAGGAATTTTGCATAAGGATCACTGTCATTAGGAAGAAGACTAATGTTTACCTTTAGCTCAAAGCCCAGTTTTGGATTTAAAATGAAAAAAGATTAAAAACCAATGAATGAAATTCATTGGTTTAAAACATGTGTTTATGGGCCTCTCCTCAGATTGCTGGATAAGCATTACAAGTAATTTTTGAACATGAAGTTGAACATTCCTCCCCTCTCACCAGCAGTTGACATCAACCTCTGCTGCTCTTTCACGACCCCATTCTGGGCTGACTGGTGAGCTCCATCCAATCCTGTAGCCCTGTGCGTGGTCTTCCGAACGCTTTTGGAGAAACATCTGTGCAGAGACGGGTTATGCTGCTACCAAAAGGCTTAGTCTTCCTGAAGAAGCTAATGAGACAATTTCTGCTTCCAGAACACGCACATGATCCGTCTTTCAAAGAACAGACAGATCTCCAGTTGTGCAGCTGTTTCACTGCCAAGGCAATTTGGTCTCATCCTCGAGCTGCATGTGAAGGTTTCCCTCAATGCTTTACAATTCATTTTGGATAAACTCCACCGTCTCAAAACAAAACAAAAAAGATGGTTCACATGACTCAGCTAGCAACTCACATTCACTGCTGTACACGGCCCAAGTCCTCACTCAGCCTGCCCATCCATGGGTTCCAAAGAGTCAGCATTGTCCAAAACCAGTGCAATAGTTTTCATAATTTAGGAGGAAGATATTTACAACTGCCAGCAGTTACGAGTGTGCATCACCTAGAATGTACTATCTGCTTCGCCCTTCTTGGAACCATAGGAGAAGAGGAGTTGTTCTGTCCTGGGGTTTTTATGAGTGGTTGTTACTCTTCACCATTTAAGCACAGAGCTCACACCATGTTGCCCTTCCCAGTTTTCCAATAATAATAATAATAATGATAATAAAAGTAAGCACAGAGCTCACACCATGTTGCTCTTCCCAGTTTTCCAATAATAATAATGATAATAAAATAATAAAAAATCAAATCTCTAGGTGTCTCTTTATATTATGTTAGACAGTTATTACAGATCCTTTAAAATGTTACCTTGGAGGGACAGACAAGGAGGTAGATCACTGTCCTTGGAAAATACATTTGAAAGAAAGCAAACTAGACAGCAATATGACAGCAATGCATCTCTGCAGCAGAAAGTTGTGATACTGAAGTTATCTCATTATTACATTTAATAGTTAGGGAAAAACAGAGTGGCTACTCACACACAATTTTATGAGAGGAACAACTGAAATGAAAGACGCACTTTTAGACAAGCTGGTATTACATCACATTAGTGGGCCACAAAAGTGTTAAAAAAAATCTTTTGAGACATGAGAACAAAATCACATTTTAGCATGCTTTAAATAGCTGAACTGCTATTCAAAGCATAACAGTTTTCAGCTACTGACAAAGACAATGATATCTCCTGATTTGGAAAATAGAAAGCATTTAGCAATAAGTTAAAGCTAGCCTACATGTAAGTGGGCTAAATACTAGGCAAGGATTTTTTCCCTTTTTCACATTTCAGGTGATAGTACAGTTTATCATTTCTGCAGTTTAAATATTCTTGCACAATGCCCCACTGAAGTTTCACATCTACTCTGCAAAAGAGGACAAGAATAAACACCTTCCTTGTAGAAGAATCACAAATTCTAGAGCCAGTAGTATTTGTTTGTCCCTTTAATTACATGTTTTCTGATTATCACGCAAAAACTGTAAGCAGATTCTTCTGAGAAATATGAAACCTCATGGTCTCGTGCGAGTTCAATACTGCTTCTCTTCTTTTTCTTTTAATAATTATCATCAGCTGTTTTCCCAAGCCCAAGACAGATTTCCAACTGTCTCCGTCCGATTTTAACAGCCTTAGGGGAGAGAAAGCTTCACCTCATTATTTCTACCCAAAGCAGCCTGGCTGCAGGCTTGTGTCAGGTCGGGTAAGCCTTGGGCCACATGAAGTTGGATGCTTCTCTTTCGAGGCACTAGCAGTTAGGCTAATGGCAATAGTCAGATTGTCCAAAGTTAAAGGGACAAACAGCTCTCATTGCCCTCCTATTTAAACACATGGCCAGTGAAGAAATCTATTTTCCCTTTTTTTCCTCCTGAAACACATTAAGTACAGCCTGTGGCAACAGATTCCCCACAGTGTTACATTCATGCCCCTATTGTCCCATTTTATGTCTAGTTTCCTGAAGCTCACTGGAGAAATGAAGAGTGCATCTCTCCACACTCAGATAATACACACACATCCCTTTTTATCTCATAATAATCATCTTGTCTCTATTTCCTCTCCTGCATTCCCAAGCTAAACCAAGACAAGCTCAGTTCTGTGGCAATGTTTTCACACACCTCTCCCCCGAGAGCGCTGCTGCAGCTGCAGCTGAACAACACAATTGCAGCATGCTACGTGTACTCAGATTCAGTATGTGGTTTGAGAGAAGGGAATGACCGGTTTCCAAATTTGTCTGTTTTCAAGACATTTAGAAAACCCCACTGTCAGCATTTCGAGTAAAAAAACAGGTCAAGTTTGACATCTTCAGACCATAGTAAAAGCACTTAGACGTGTTAGCTTGTTTAGATAAACACCCCCACCTCAAGTGACACGGTGGCCTGCAGTCTTCCTTGATCCATCAGCAGAGCAGGAGCTGTGTTTGCTGAGTCCGTAATCACGCGTTGTCTTCCAGAGGAAACACTAGCCGGGTGCCCCTGCTCGCGACTTCATGATCAGCTGCTCCCAAATCACGTTCCAGAGCCTCCTCTGAGCTACTTTTTGTTCTCCTGCCATCGAGGCTGGTGGTAGCTGTATGAGGGCCAGAAGAACCATTAGCAGTTATCGTGGTATCACCGTATGTCACAGTGAGGTCACCATCATTCAGAATAAAGTCAGAATCCTCTTCTCTAAGTTGTTCTTGATTCTGGGGAAAAAAAAAAAAAAAAAAGGAAAGAAAGACAGAAATCTGAGCACAATGCACAGCATTTGGTATCTGTCAAAAATACCTGAACAAAAAGATTTACCTGTCAATGCAGAAGCAACAAGGAGTTGAACTTAAGAACCTAGATTATGAGAGCAGTAACTCAGAAGCTAACACCACTGGACACTTAATGGAAGTAACACAAGAGATGAGATGCACACACTGCTCTTCATGTGACAAATTAAAAGACAGTAGAGGAAAAGATACTTGAGACCAAGCACAGTCATTTATCATTTTATTGTTCCAGATAAAGTCAAGTTGAATCTCTCCCTAGTTAGACCTAAGTTCAGAAATAAGTCATGCAAACTGATAAGAACTCACTAGAGGCCCAAATTATTTGCATTCAAGGCTTCCTCAAGAAATTAGTGTCACAGATTAATTCCCTTTTAAGCCCCTTCCTCTCCCCTCCCTTTTTAATTTTTTTTCATTCTGTTTATCTGGTACTAACCTGAGAATTACCTTAGTTCCTAGGATCACTCCTAAGCCACGGAAGAAGGGTTTCTATAAACAAACGCTTGCTTCGCAGCTTTGTGTGTGCGCTGCTGCCTGTTTGCTCCCACTGCCCCCAGCTGCTGCCGCAGCTCCCGGCTCCACCTGCCCCTGGTGGGACAAGGCCGCACGGCAGAGGGGAAAGGGGCAGGCCCCACCGCTACGCTTGGGCTGCCCCACAGGGCTGAGGAGCAAGGGCAAGCAGGATACGGAGCACAGAGGGCCGCAGGTCTGATACCATGTGGCAATTCCTCACTCAGTCTTCTCCAGGCTACGCTTACATGTCCATAAATGTGATCAGCTCCAGAGAAAACAGGGACCTTTATTTCAAGCTCAGCCTTGTACAAGCCAAGCTTCCCTTATTTATTTCACTTCTGAGTAATACTATAAGCAGCAGGCAGCTCATTTCACATATTTCTCCAGAGCACATGTATTAACCATCCCACGTAGCACATGGATTAGACTCCATACCTACAAGCATGGAGGATGCTGGAATAAACCTCCTGGGCTTCATGCAGCATGAACGATTCTTACAAGGCAGTCAAGGAATGTATCCAAGTAGATCCCTAGAGACTTGATTGTTTTTCCCCCAAGAAAATCCCTAAAATAACCCTAAACTGGCCTCCACAATCCCCTACAATTCTGTAGGGGCAACTCCTTCATTTCAGAAATACAGATCTGAATCTCACTATTTAAACTGACGAACTAGAAGGATGCAGGTATTTCGCCCAAAGCACTTCCACACACTGAACTCTGTTTTAACATGCTCACCAGTGCCCATTCACTCTGATGGCCCTCCCAGCAGTCTGTCAAATTCTGGGTAAAAATTGGTAGAGATGCCACATTCCTAAGAACTCATGCTGAAAATGTTAGAGCTGTCAGAATTTATTTACAATTTCTGACTAAAGCCAGAAATATCTCCTCCTTATCACCTCTTAAGATGATGCAAGAAGCACATACAAAGTAGCTCACGCATACAAAACTGTAGTAGGCACCATTAAAACTGATAGTGATAATCCTTAAGGTAGTATAGACATCATGTATGACAAAATCTGTATCAGAAGGACTTGTGTCCCCAAAATAAAAGTTTTAAGTAGTAGTGCACATGCAAGAATGTATTATGATTTAAAACTAGTGCTCTGCTTTATATTTCTCTGTTTCTCAAGTACAAGTTCATCAAGGAAAATGCAGTTTCTTCTATAAAGCTAAAGCAAATAAGAAAACAGGCAGGGGACATTACTGAACAGTTTTCTTATCCATATTGAAAGTTATGCCCTCTGAGCTTATGTGGACAGCAAAGAGAAGTCTCTTTCTTATGGGAAGGAAAGAGGAGAAACTCAAAACAACTGTGAACAACAACAACAAAGACAAAACCAAAAAAACAAAGAACCATACCAAAATAAGGTGCTTCATCAGGAAGAACAGGTGATAAAACACATGCTTTTTCCAAATGGGAAAAATCGTTGGTGGAAGGTAGAATGAGGGATATGAGGGATGCCTCATGTAGAATTGCTCTAAGTTTTCAAAGCACATGTCAAAAGCGGAAAAAATGACCTGCATTGATTCAGGATAAATTAGAAAGTGCTGTCAAATGCTCATGGAGTGAAGGCAGTCCCAGGAAAGAAAGCAGGAGTCGTGTTTTTCAGCAGCCATTATAAACTCTGCAGCTACAGTAGCCTGTCATACTCCTGAGTTCCAACTTGGATTCTATTTGCGTGCGATTTTCCAAAACGCTCAACAGTGCTCCCAGGGGCACAGTGTTAAAGCAGGGGGAAATCCTCAGCAAGAAAGAAGTGGAAACTTCTCAAGAGCAAAAATAACCACTCACACCTCAGCCTTGCATGCTGACTCAGAACATTACGTGTGCCCCAGGTCACCTCGGGAGTTTAAGCTTAGAGGACTGCCTCATACTGAGGAGTCAGTTGTAGGTGGATTTCTTAATAGCACTGTATGACTTTCAGACCTTCAGACTCCCTCTTGCATTTATTAATAAAAATGTTAAAAAGCTAGAGAAAATAACAAAATAACTGAAAACAACACAGAATTACATGGCCACTAAAGATATATGCTCATATGCTTTCTTCTCCTGCAGTATGTAGGTGCCATAACCATTCAGACCTGTGTCTGAAGCAGATCCACTTGATCTACCACTCCATCTTGCGGCATATAAGCGTAGCCTCCTTAGGTTACGTTTTGCTGAGTCTCTCCTTTTATTTGTTTGTTTTTTAACTTCGATCTTCGGTCTTTAATCCTCTCAGAGGTACCATTTAGTTTTCCTGGAAAGATCTCACAACGGTACAAGCAATGTCTGTCCCTAAAAAGATACAGCTCTTTCAGCTGCTTCACCAGAAGTGGGGAGGAAGACAAAAAGACTGCAGCTTTTAAATTTGTAATAAAATGGCCCACTCATAGTGCTGAAGCTAGCTAGGCCAGCTGTGTAAAGAAAGGCTAAGCAATTGTAGAGTTGGGAAAGCTTGAAAAGAAAATAAAAAACAAACAAAAAGATAAAAACCCACCCACAAGAGAACTTCAAAATATTCTCCTAGTCCTAATGCAGCAACACGCCAAAGCAGGAACAAGAGGAGAGGATACAGTGTCTATCTTCTATATTACACACATTAAAAAAGGAAAGATATGCAGCCTTGCAAATATTTTTACTATAAGCAATGAATTATGCAGTGATGAGGTTAACACCCCACAGATGATGGTGGTGGTGAATAAGTCACAGAATGGACCCAACTAAACAATGAATTTTCACATATGGCTTCAGCTAACGATGAAGAAATGATCATAGAATCATAGAATCATAGAATGCTTAGGGTTGGAAGGGACCTCTAGAGATCATCTAGTCCAACCCCCCTGCACACGCAGGGACACCTAGAGCACGTGGCACAGGACTGCATCCAAGCGGGTTTTGAAGATCTCCAGAGCAGGAGACTCCACAACCTCTCTGGGCAGCCTGTTCCAGGGCTCTGTCACCCTCACTGTTAAGAAATTTTTCCTTAAGATCCTATTGAATTTTTGATGTTTCAGTTTCCGGCCATTCCCTCTAGTCCTATCAGTGGCCACCACTGAAAAGAGACCATCACCGTCCTCTGCACTCCCTCCCTTGAGGTACTTATAGACACTGATTAGATCCCCTCTCAGCCTTCTCTCCTCCAGGCTGAACAGGCCCAGCTCCCCCAGCCTCTCCTCATAGGGCAGATGTTCCAGGCCCCTGAGCATCCAGTACCTTATAGACAAGGATAGATGTGTGTCAGGATGCTGACAAGAGTATTAGATGACTGAAGCATTAGCTATTGCAAGACATGGCTGTAAAGGCACCACGCTGACCTACTAGACTGAGGTAACAAGTACCTGATTAGCAGTTTCTGAAATGCAATCTTAAATCTTGCTGTGGGAACAGTCAAGGGAAATTCTACCAGATTTCCTTCTGGCATGGGTACAAGCACATTGGTGTCTTCTCCAAAGATCTAAACGCAACCTCAGCAGTAAAGGAAAAACCTTGCCCAAAAGTGCTGAAAGAGGCCAGACTACTTGGAAGTGATTCATTAAGAACCAGCTTATTGATTAGGCCTGTCATTTCCCAAGAGCCTTAAATGCTATTATTCACGTACTGCTTGAAAAGTAAGAGAACATCTTTGATTTCTACTAGCAAAAGCTGTTGCCTCAGGGGAGAGCATCTTAAATCTTTTCTGCCTTAGGACAAATCAGCACTTACAATATGTAAATTGTACCACTTCTTCAAAAACAACCCCTCTGCCCCCCTCCAAAAAAAGCAACAACCAAAAAAGGCAAAATCCCCACAAGTATTTAATCAGTTACTTACATCATAAACCTGAGGACTTGTCAGACAGCGAGCTACCAGACCACACCAGCTCGGCAGAGTTGTGGTTAACGGAGGGCCGCTGTGAGTGAGAATTGGCTTTAAATAACTTTTAGTAGTTAAGGAAAATAGACCAGTGCTTGGAAACCATGGTTTGAAATAAAAAGACAAGCATAAACTGTTCAGTAATTACATATAAACCAAATGTAGATTTTTCAAATGTATTTGTAAACAATACAAAATTGTAAACAAATGGGAAGCATCCTCTCTAAACACTTTTCCCTTGATCCTGTTTATTCACGTTTTCTGCATGGACAACTAGCTCCCTCCCTTCTTAAAGGTTCATATAGTTGCAGCATCTCTGTCTTCTGGGCTCCCTGGAGCCAACAGGAGCATGCAGGGGTAGATGCTCCTTAACGTTAACAATGTCCATCTATTTTGTAGATGGGATCATGGCACTGAGACCCCGAGCCAGACGTAACAGGATGACATGATTTTGTGACTCAAACAGTGAATAAAGAAATGCCATCCGTCCAAGGTCCTCAGAGCGATGCAGCCACCTGACCTGTCCACTGCTATCTGGGTCAGAGTCACACTGATCCCACCACAGATCCCTGCAGCCTGAGGAATTAAGTGTAATTAAGGGGGAATTAAGCTGTAATTTTCCTTCAGCATTTTCTCTGCTCACTGCACCTGCTTGAGACTGCAGCTGAGCTCATGTCAGTTGAGAGCAGCATCAGTTATGTCAGCTACTCCTCTTTTTACAAGGCACATTCTCTTTGTAAAGACTGGGCAAGGGGATGTCTCGGCTTCCTTCTTAAAAAAGGCAGTCAGCCCTAGCCTGGTACTTCTCTGCTCCCCAGAAACAGCTGAGGATCAAGTACTGAAACTTCTCTGAATTTCTGCAATGAGTGACTTACCCTGGTCACAATACAAGATTTCACATTTTCTATTAAGTGAACGCAAGCAGTTGAGGAGGGGCACACGTGCAATACCTTGATTAAAAATACACTAAGTAGGAAAAACAAAAGCAAAAGCAAATACAACAGAAAGCAGAGCTATACAAAATCATACAGAAGCTTAAGCAAGGCTATCTAAATAGCACAACAGTAGCTGCTGAAAGGCTATATAGCACTGTATACACTGTATACATCCACGGCCTCAACACCTATAGGAACTTCTGGATATACTGAAGAGATTGTGATGGATCATAGGTATGATTTTTGGGTCTAAAGCTTCTCATATCTTTGATGGGATCCTCTAAAGAGAGCTTCATTACAAAAACAGAGGGCTCTTCTGAGCAAGAAGCTGAGAATTAGACATGCACAATGAAGTGGGAAACCAGACGCTGTGAGCTTCTGCAAAAACAAGAACAGATGAGTAGAACAGAACAGAGAATCCAAAATAGTTCATTGGCTGCTGTCTCACTGTTCAGCAAAGAGCTTCAGCCCACAGAATTGCCTTGTTCTCTTGTTCTCTGGCACATGTGACATAGCATGTACCTTGAAGAAAGGAAAAGTCTGTCTTCCAAGCCCACAAGCTGAAGTTGTGGTTCTGTGCACTACACCCATCAGACAATACCTGATCTTTATCACAGTCGTCTTGGGTGCTTAAGGCTGCAAACAGGTACAGGGCAAGGAAAGAAACCTGAACACTTCATGTCTTGAAGCTAAGTTGTGTTTTCAAAAGGATACTTATGGTCAAAGCTATACCACAGCCTGAAGAGCCAAGCACTTTCCTGCTTTGTCCTGTTCCTTCTTTCAGAATCTGGGCCATCCTAAAAATAAAACAAAAACATATTGCATTATTTCAGATTAAAAAAAAATGAAATCAGACACTCCAAACATTCACACAACACACTGTGTCCTATTCAAAAAAGCCAAATGACATAACTACTGTATTTCAACTGTGGAAGATGAATTTCACCAAGAAGGTGAGTTTCCATAGAAAGGTCAAAAATGACTGGCAGAGAACGTGTAAGCCCCTCTTCACCATCCTTAAGTTACATTAAGGAGCCTCCTGTCACCAAGTTCCCTTGCGCCTAACTTACCTCTGCATTATTGCAGGGGCTATAGCCACTACATTAACAGCCATAGAAAGAAAACTAAAACTAGAAGTGCCCCTCCTATATGTGTCACCTCCCAGATAACTGAACTGGTTCCTATTCTTTACTCCATTGATTTCCTTAGCTCTAAGTCTCTTTGATATTCTTGTTTCCTTGAAGAACATGCTAATTCCTTATTGCCGTTAAGTATTTTTTCAGGTTTGTGAGAGTTTAACACAGAGGAAACATGCTTAACGGGGAGAAAAAAATCACGACTGAGAAAGGTTATGCAAGTTTTGTTAAGTGCTACATCAAGCCAGCTCTCAGAAGCGCTAACAATGTTAAATATAATCCTTTTAATAGCTGTGCTGCAAGTCATCATCACACCAGCTGGTCTGCAGCTGTGTTTGTTTTTACTTTTTGTTACTGTTTTTCTTATTTGACTAGAGGCCAGAGTTAAACTCAGGAAAACAGACCAAGTGAGAACGCCTAGTATGAAATCATCTTTCAAAACACTGTGAAGGGAAAAAAAAAAAAAACAGAATTGCCCTGTGTCCTGCGGCAAAACGCCATGATCCACCAAGAGTTAAAGCTTAATAAATATTCACTCCAACCCCCAAAATATGTTTTCTCTGTGACTTGCTGCTGATCTTGGCTTTGTGAAAGGGAGAGAAATCCAAAGGGAATGGACTGATGGACTCCATTAGGCATGCAACACACAGCTAAAGAGGAAAAGAAATGCCTAAGTGCTCTATGTTTACATGGAAAAGAACAAACAGGCTATTTCTACTCAAACATTGGATGCGAACAGAAGACTCTTGTTCTGTCTGTAGCTATTTCCTGCTAAAAGCAGTTCTTTAGACACTGACAGGCTCAGTCTGAGCGGGCTGAAGCTCTATCTTACTGTGATAACCACTGCGTAACCTGGGCTGCAGGCCACATCTGTGGCCTTCTGCAGCAGGAGGTTTGAGTTTCAATGCCCAGTCTTCTGGTGGCTTGCAGACACAAAGCTAAAAGATCACTGCTTTTGGTACTCAAACTCACCGCTTCAGAACCGATACTGTGGCCTGGACCAGACTTCTACAAAGCCCTAGCTGAGAAGGGGGAGAAGAAAAAAAAAAAAAAAAGCAAGAGGGGGGGGACAGGGACAAAACAAGAAAGTTGATCCCAAGCACAAGTTTCACATGCGTTTATCCTCTTGGTTCAAGCCATCTGCATTTCCTGCCATTCAACTGCATTTTCCTCTGACAGGTGCTTGGGTGACTGAGGGGGAATGTCCTTGCACAGAGGAAGTTCCCACTTGAGCCTCAGGAAACTTTCCTACCAAACATTTCACTCTTCCTGTGAATTCACTCAATTTACACAAGGGGGAACCTGAAATTTATGGGCTGAACAACATTCTTGACGTCTTGTTTGCCAATAGATGTATGTGTAAACCAATTCAGCATCTCCTTCCAAGAGAAACAGAGATGAGGGGAGAGAAACTTAGCCCTGCACTGTCGTACCTGCTGTGTCAGTGTGAGAACCCATCTGCCTCACTAATCACTTCTCCCAGCACAGCCTTCCTGCCTCTTCCTCAGAAGATGTGCTGGGACAGGGATTTTTCAGGACTGGCTACGGATGGAGCTCTACACTTTACAGCCAAGAAGTGGCATGGCTGAAGCAACACCTACACTTTCTAGTTTCACTGCTGTATTTGCATAGGAGGCAGCATCCAGGACACTGAATCAGTAACATAGCTCACAAAAGACACCATTCCCTCTTCCCTCATCAACTATGAAGTGTAAAGCCAGACAAAAAACAAGGGTTTGTTTGTTTGTTTGTTTTCCTCTTGGGAGCTGAATTTAATTCCCAGGTCGACTGGGGATTTAGTTTAACAATGACAAAAATCAAGCAAAGAGATTTTTTTTTTAATGGATTAGTGTAAAGGACACAGAATTAAGGACACATAGGCACTCCTAGCATAGTGGAAGAAAAAAGCCAACTCTTGGATTGCTCTTCATGCCAAGAAGGCTGAAAGATTCATAGCTACATCAGGCTGAAGATAAAATGATGATTTTGTGATGTTGCTTTTGTCTCATAAAGGTGGCAGGTGGTAGTTGCAAAATCCACTTGGGTTGTGATCCAATATACAGCAGCTGGTAACAGATTAGTGAACTTAATCTTTGGTTCTAAGCAAGTCCAAAAGGCAGAATTGGGTCTCCGTTGTTGAGCAGAAGCCAAGAGCATTAACTCTGTGTGCCAGTGTCGGGCACGTCTGCTCATGGGGCAGAACAGCCAAAGCAGGTGTGTGCAGGCAGGGCAGAGAGGAGAGCACTGCGTTAGGTGGAGTGAATTAGATCTGAGAAGATTTTCAGAGCAGATTCTCGGTTAGGACACACACACACACAAACACACGCCCCAATGTGAAGGCAAGGTTTAGAGAGACAAACCGCACCACAACACTCAACGCCACAGAGTGTTTTTGGTGGGCATTACTTGTTATGATGTAAACCCCACTACTGACTTTCCAGGTGGGGGAGAAAGTTTTCATCCATGCATGTAACTTCTGTAGCTTTTTCATCTTGGTTGTAACATAAGAACAGCCTAATAAAGAAGTTATGTAGTTACTTACTCCTTGTAAGACTTGAAAGCTGTCATTAGTAGGTGGAGGATCCTGATCTGGGTCAACTCCAACTCTACAGAAAATTAGGAAAACAAAGCAAGAGGTGTTACTGAGGGTTGCAAATGTTAAGTTCAGCCCAATGCATTTTAAAAGCACCTTAATCACCCAGCAAAGCTGCATTCAGAGAAGTTAAAAGAATAGTTTCAGGAAGAGCTGTCCATTATTCCCCTGTGGTTACACAGCCATAAGAAAGATGTTTTTCACTCAAGCAGCAACCACCTATAGGTAACAGAGGTTGTAACTCCAGTTCAGCATCAACTTTAACTGCTTACCTTGGTGCCAATTCCTCTAGGGCACTGGCAAATGCTATTTTTTGGCCTAAAGAGGTGAACTGTGAGTTGACATCCTCTTCAGTGGAGAATATCTCTCATGTTCAGTAGCAGAAAATCAGAGACTAAGGATAAGTCCAGCCTAAAGATTTGACATGGCAAATCACTTTGCTGCTAGATAGGCCTGAAAATTATTCAAATGTACTGCATACACACACACACACACGCACACCATTATTTCTAAAGGCATTGACAACGTGAAGTACCATTAATACCTCATAAATATTAATGATATTAATTTACTGCAAGTTTATTCATCTAATACCAAATGGGATTTTTCAAGTGGTCAGAGAGCACACTCACAAGTGGCCTGTCTAGTCCATCGTCACCTTGAGAGTGACCAGATGGTGTGTGTAACAAGACCATAGAATAGCTGTAGCGTCCCTGTTTTTACATATTTAGCAGTCATCTTATTACTGTACTATGATTTCAGGCAGTGTTTCTGTTTGAAACATTTCAACCTGATCCTTGCAGTTATATTCAGGTTCTTCCGATGAAGAAAGCAGACTTGGCTTAGTCCTTTCTCAAATCCTACTTGTGTCACAGTCTCTGCACTCTCCTGTGGAACTGAGCCCTCCAGCCTCTCAATGTTAAGCATTTCCACAGGCACGTGCTGCGTTTCAGTCCTACCATGTTGCATAATGACAGCATGAAAATGCATCAAATGAGGAGAACAGGTTGTTTGAAATGGTTGCTTGTTCGTTTTCCCTCTCCTGTAAGGGATTGAACTGTTTTAGAGTAATCTCTTAATTACCTGGTTTTGTGCTGGCTCTTTCTAGTTATGCTATTTTTGCAATGTCATTTCTGAGACAGAGTTATCAGAAAACAGCACATTGCAGGCAAGCCCATATCATCTGGGCATTCAGGGGACACAAGCTTGCACAAGACAAGCTGCAATTCATACATGATTTACCTTCACACACAGAAGACTGTATTGATAAATATTAACCATTAAATAACTTATAGGCAGCACCTTCTAACATGAAGAAAGAAAACTGGGCATTGAACTACGTTTAAGTTATCCTTGTGCACTAATGCCCAGCCCGAGGCCTCACATGACAACGTAATTCAGAGGGAAGCCAAGAGGCCACTCTTGGACAGCCCAGAGCAACATTGCACCGAGCTAGAGCTGCAAAGCCCTCTGCTTCCCCACTCCAGGCCAAGCCTCTTTTCTCTCCTCATCCCTTTTCTCCCCTGTCACAGCAAAACCCCCACCTAGAGCAGCATCTTAACCCTTGCACCCACTGGCCTGGGAATCCATTGGCACGGGGCCGTTTCAAGATCAACAAGCTCTGCAAGCTAAGGGAACACTGGATGGACACAGGGGTACTGCATTTTAATGCACTGAGCTACACACTTACTCCATTTCAAAAAGTAAAAGAAAAAAAGAAGTAAATAATTGAGAATTTCTCTGCTCTTTCCTGACTTACAGTTGTGTATTGCATCTTAAGATCTTAACTGCCCTTAGAGCAGGAGAAGGGTCAGGGCTTTTAAGAGGACCAAAGCAGACTGAGCACACTGCTCAGCGAGAACCCGGGATGAAGCATGGAGCAAGTGCTTAGGTTCACTCACTTCCTGAAGAGGCAGAAAGCCTTTCGACATCAAGGGTTTCAGCTTTCGGCCAAACTTTTCTTTTACTATAGAAGACCCTTTCAATATTCAAAGGACTACACAGACACAGTCTATTTTAATGTGTTTCAAAGTTATTCTTCAGGGGAACTCGCATTTTGAGCATGTCTAATGAAATCTCCCTCCGCTCTTTCATTTTTTTTTTTTAAGTTTATGTTTCTATCTATACGCCAGTTCATAGATTAACACACACAAAAAAAAGAACAGTACTCTTGAATTCCCAGGATTACTGTTGGTGTCTGTTATTCTTTAGATTTGCTTGCACAGAAAGCATTTATTTTTCCTACCAAGTCTGTCTTTCCTAATGTTTCAATGTGTATATACATAGGTCACCTGAAAAGAATTTTGTTTTAGCAGTATCCCACCTTTCCAGTTTCTAAAAAAGTTTCATTCTAATCCTGAAAGTTCATTTTTTTGTTTTGTTAAGATGAAGACTTTCAATACAAGAATATCTTGCATGCAATCTAAGAGTATCTCCCCACCTTCCTTTGCAGGGAAGAGATGCACAGAAAACATTAAGCTACTTCACCCTACTTTAATGACTTCCCTCATTAAAAGCACAAGGAAAGCTTCACTTTTTTTTTTCTCTCTTACTGTTAAAAAAAAAAATCTAAGTAGTTGCACTTAAAAGCTTACCGAAACTTAAACGTGCTGTAAAAGCCAATATCAGTTTTATTTAAATAGTATTTAAATTAGGAAAAAAAAATCAGTTGGTACTGGATGAGTTTGCACACATTCTCTCTCAAAGGTGAGGGTCAGAGAGCAAAACCTCAGTGACCATAACTGCCCCATAACCACAACCTCAGTGATCATTTTGGAGTTTCCCTCGAACAGCCTCCCAGACAGGCAGGGGAGCAAACAAGGTCGGGTTGCAAACAGTGTTTTGCTGAACAGGACAGCCAGTGCCAGGGCCGGGCAGATGTCAGCAAGCAGCTCTGCTGGTCCTGCCACTCTTCTTTTAAAAAGCCTGCAGCGATTGCATGGGGATTTCTGGAAGGATTCAACCAAGGGTAACTTGTAAAAAATACGACTGTCAGGTGAAAAACATACTAAAAAATACACAATTAATTATTCTATCACTTCAGTGCAGCTACTGTGCTGTAAATATTAATATTTAGTATATACAGTTTAGTCATTATTTTTATTCCTGAACTGGGAAGTTTACTATAATTCGTAGACAAGGGTCTTCCATAGTAAAACTTACGTAAAATTTCAGTATAGTTCTCCACTCCTTCATAATAAGCTTTTTTTTTTGTTGATGTTTCTGTTTAAGGACATAAACAGCTTTTCAGGCTTTTTTAATAGCCCTGTAATGGCAAAAGGACTAGGCTTTAGCCCTAGGAACGAAGCATAAGGTTGCTGGTCATATTTCTCACACTGGTAGAACAAGCTGCTTTAATGCAGCCCTGGCAATTCAAGCAGCTGCCTGGGAGTGCTGAAGTGTGACAGGACACACAAAAAATTTTCCATTGGTCCCCCCCAGAAATTATATGTACACACACATACAAACACCCACTACCCTATAGCTGCCAGTTGTCTATCAATTCTAGACCATTCCCTAGAGGAGATGGGGAGTCTCAGGCATCTCCACTCTTACTAGTGTTTCCTATGGAGCAATCTGACAACTCTTTCTTTTTTAAAATACAATCCAGAAAGGCTGGACTATATCACCCCTGGAAGTCCAACCTGAATGATTAGAGGAAGTAATCCCAAGGAATTCCAAGAATATCTGTGTAATCTGGGATTACAGAATCACATTCGTGATTTCTCAGTTTTCAAGTCCTCTCAGACCAAAGAAAATGGTCTCAATCCATAAATCATCCAGACCCAGAAGTTAAAGAAGTTTTCTAAAAGTTTTCTAAAGAAAAGGACTTGATGTGTGATCCACACCCTCCCAGTTTACAAGATGGACTCGGACTCGAGGAATATCCCTGGCGCCCTGCAAAAAGGAGCAGCTGCAGCAGCATGCCAGAGCCCCGAGAAGAGAGCACACGCTTAGGGTTACAGAGATGAAGAAAGCCAAGCACCAAGTTAATGTGGGGTCAAGGGGAGTGCAGTGTCACCTGAAATACAGCCAGCGGCTTTCGTTCATCTCTTCCACCGATGCAACGTGGTCACCGACTCTGGCATAGTACAAGAATGGAATGCAAATAATAAAATGCTCATGAGATGGTAGCTCCACAGAGCAGCCTAACCACAAAAACAAAAGAAATCCCAAACCCCTACCCAACTGAGGAAAGGCAAAACATACAAGAATTAGAATGGCAGAATAATGAAAAAGTGACCAAAAAAAAAAATCATAAAAGTTAACTTGATTGACATCTCCGGTAATATTCTTCATTTACCCAGCTGGCAAAACACCTACATTTAGGATATGATACTCACTATTCCGCCTCTCCACAAAATTAAATTTAGTAGTTTTTCAGAGAGCTACTACATGGAGATAGAGACAATCTAAGATACAGTTCCTACCCCTTAAGATTTGCACATGTTCTAAAAGAGAAAGAAAGCAATTGAAGTCATAAGAAACTATACATGCACAAGAGAAGGCATCAGCACAGTCTTCTGTGTTGGAAGGAGCAGTCAAACACACCTGGTAAGTACATACACAAACTGAGGAATTTATGTAGCCACTGACTAACAATTTTTCACATAATTAATCTTCAGTCATGATAGATATTGTTTTTACTCCTTGCTTCATCTTTTCCATGTATTCAAAGAAAATCCTCAGTGAAGGCACATTTGGTTTCTAATATTTGCAATGTAAACTCTTTACAAATTGTTCCCCCTACACACTTTTTCACAAGGGCATATGACATCAATTATATACTGCTTATGCTAATATCAAGGGAAAGATTATTGGGAATAATTAATCACTTGGTATCCACTCTAAGAAATCCTCAGAGGCCCCACTTATCAAAGAGCAGGGGTTTGCATCCTCATTGCAGACTCGCATCGTGAAGAGCCAAACAATTAAGGCCATGGGCTGGCCGAACCAAGAGCATGTACCAGTACAATCCTTGAAGACAGGCAAACACCAGACTTTGGATGGATTTGTTTTCAAATCCTAGTTCATGAGCCTTTCCCATGCCACATTACAAGTCTGAGGACTCAGCTTCAGATAAGGCCAGCACTGCATGTCTGGCAAAAGCTAAAAACTAAAAGCTGCCTAATAACTTCCCTTCTAAGACTCCTTCCTTAATGCTGTACCTGTGCCAAGCTAATATACTGACATTTCCCAGATGTCTGTATTGAGAGCTGCATTTCTGGCAAGTTTCAGCTGTTTTGGAAGAGTTCAACTGTTTCTTGAAAGGTGGCTGTGAAAGAAGAAGATTCCCAGCCCTATGTTAAAAAGCAAAAACCAAACAAACCTCCAAACCTCAATCACTGAAAAAGCTCCAAGAACTAGGGAAAGTTACTTAAGGATGGTTTTAGGATGCCTTTAATTGACCTAAGCAAGCCCCAGGTAAGGACTCTCAAAGCTGCCTGCTGAGGCTTGTCAGACCCTGCCAGTTCCACCCTTATCTCCCGTTTGCTCCAAACGGATTTCACTCCAACTCCTACAGATTTCACTCCAACTCCTACGAGGCTGGATGGGACCTGCCCCACACGCCCTCCCTCACAGGGAATTGCCATGGGGCAGAGGGCAAGAGCAGAGATAAGGAAGCACCTCCTGTGCTCACTTCCAAACAGTGCAAAGGACGCCTATCAAGGGAGAAAAACAACAGCAACCTCAAAAGGTCAGCCCAGTAAAGCTGCACTGAGCCCCCAAAACAGAGATTCATGACTGAGGAATGGAGATGGGGGGCAGGAGGATGGCAAAAACTGGACAGGGCCAGATGACTGGGAAAAGCAGTGCATGAGGAAGGATGGCAGAGGGAAAGGGACGACAACTGCCTCATGTGCCTGCCCTGCAGGGCAGCACAAAGGGGCTGCAGAGGATAAAACCCAGAGGATCTATCTGCTCTATCTGGCAGAGAAACAGAAAAAACAGGCTGCAAAGGGGCAGCCTCTCATCAAACACTTTCCCGCTCAAAGACCCTAAACAGAACACAAGGATCTAGGCCAGTATCAACAGTGGCTCCCAGGCATCGCAGTGCGGTGCAGCGCGGTACTCAGGACATGCACAGTTTATCCGACAACTAACAGGGGGACCACCAGCCAGAACGGGCCCAACCCGAGACTGCCATCAGGCTGCTAGCAGTCATGGGGGCTGCTGCTGAAGCTACGTGAACTGACTTCCCCTGTGAGAGTTCCCATGTGTCCAAGGTGCATTTTTAAAATGTAATAATAATAATAAAAAGTAGAAATGAAATGTGCAGCCTTCAACTTTTCTTGGAGAAAGACACCCAAAAATATCTTAAATGGAAAGATATGTACACATACAATGTATGCATATGCTCATGAATAAGACTTATGAAAAGGTTACTAAGTATAACTAAAATTACTTCATTATAATGGACACAACCCTCCTCATTTGAAGCAGCTTGGGAAAGAGAGGACGGCTTCAATGCACAGCTTGCTTCATTCAGCATGAAAGGAACCAGTGCCAAGAGGGGTCAACCATCCCTAATGAGAAACGACTAAACATTATTTTGCAGTAGAAACCCTGGGCGTTCCCTTCTTTCCAGTGATATAATGAAATAAGTAAATAAATGAAGAAGTTACTTTTCAGAAAAGAGGAGCTCTGCCAATGCTTTTAAGGGCTCTGCAGTTGCTGAAGCTGTTAAAACTAAGCAGGAAACTGTTTCTCGGCTTTAGTCATCACAAAAATAAATAAATAAATAAATAAATAAATAAGAAAGACTGCAGTTTTCATCTTTCACTTTAGTGCCCATGACAAGCTTTATTTTCTAGGAAAAACCATAACTGTTTACCATTCAGATACCTGAATATGTCCCACTGATAGCCAAGAAATATCAAACAACATAATGGGTTTAATCCTAGCTTTGGCGTTAAGTTTTAGGCTTGCTTGATATCAAGTGCTTTAATCTGAAACATGTAAAGATTCCAGCATTTCTGCTCGGATTTCACTGCCGTGATCTCACTTCCCCACCCACTTGCACAATGAGCTCAGGTCTCCACTCCCAACTGTGGGCCCTCTGCCTGGCCGCCCATTCCCACCTGACGGCTGCGTAGTGGTCACATACCCAATTTGGGAATGCACCTGCTCCTGAGTATCCAAGAAAAGGCAGAGCTGGGCAAGAGCAAGGAGCTAAGCATTTTTACCTGTCTTTTTCCATATGCTGTTTTTTTACTTATGCAAAACTTAACTTTCATGTTAGCTTCTCCTTCCCTGACCTACTTTTCTGTTTTTATTTCACATTGCTGGAGAGAATAGATCCCCAAATATTTTTGTTTGTTTTTTAAATAACCATAACAACAATTGCGCGCAGGAAGCCCTCCGCAGACGGGCAGGGGCTGCAGGGCCTCTGCTTCCCCAGCACAGCCAATGCGCAGGCTGAACCACCCCCCAGCCCTCACCTACCCGTTGCATGAGAGCGGCCACCCCAAGAGCACTTTGCTTTCCCAAGGCTGAAGTCAACCAGGGCAGAAGAAACCACTGCGAGTTTCACACAGGAGCTGGACACAACACGACTCCCAACATTTAAGTCCAACACAAAAGTGGCACTAGTTTCTTATTCCCTTTCATTTACTTAACCTAGAAAGCAAACCAGCTTTTTATCTTTCCATGTCTTTCCTGTGTGTGAGCACAGCTTATCCCCAGCCTCCAGCAAGCTGATCTAGCCGGTGGGTGCCAGGGGCTCCGTCAGCCTCCGCGCCAGGACGTGGGAGCAGGCAGTGCTAACGCCTGCTGCTGAGCGAGGCCCTGGGACTTCAGCTCCCTCTGGCTCTCGCGCCGGCTGAAGGGGACGGAAGGGACAGCACACTGCTCCTTTTCTGTCCCTTTGTTAGGTCTAAGCTTGGACAGGTCTTGCTTCCCTACAGGCAGGGTTGTAGCACCAGCCCTGTGTTTCTAACTCTTCATCAGCAGTGCGTGGCTGCCACCTCCTGGCACGAATCTCACTTCTCACCGGCCTCCTGAAAAAGCGCAGCCTCAGCAATAAACGGAGCAGGGCCCATGAGGGCTGCTGGAAACAGAGCCATGCAGTTCCCCATAACAATTTCCACGTGGAATTCCCTTGTTTGCGAGACATCCTTCCCTCAATGCGCAAGTCGACTGCTGCTTTTCTCTTAACCATGACAAACAAATGAAAGTTAGAATCACCACCTACAACAAGAGCAGGTACATCTCAAAAATAAATAACAACTCGCATTTCAGCCAACTGCCTTCTGGCAGCTACCCCAGGAATGGGAGCACAGTGCTGGTCCATGTTCCCAACTGTTCTCCCTCCTGCAAGCGGAACCTACCCAAAGGGCAAGCCTGCAATGAAGAGGGGTCACCCCTGCAGGCGGGAGGGACAACACCACAGCCACGCTCCAAAGTCTCATTATGGAGCCAGACTGCTTCAAGTAGTAGCGGCACCTTCTTGGGTGCCTTTGCAAGATGTTTTCTGAGCTAGACCACAACAAAAGCTCTCACTGCCACCACACAGGCACGGCCCATTCTCAATTTATAGGTTTCAGCAGGTCTACAACACAGGTAACGTTTCTGGTCATCTCAAAACAAGATCCCTGTGGCCAGAACCTGGGCCATATTCTGGCAGTCAGTCCTGTCACTCTGCTGACAGCTGAAGGAAGAACCTAGGGCAGAGGTGGCGGCTGACTGTTCTCAGGGGGCTGCCTTCTGACACCCGAGGCAGAGTGAACTCCCCCTTGCTTCACGTAACCATTCGCTTGATGACAAGCTGGGAAATACTCACCGATGCTCCCTCAACAAAAATAGCACTGGAAGACGCACAGAAAGCCCAGGATAGCAGCATCTATGATGAGGTCTCTTAAAGTCTGCTTTGTTGCCCTGATGGCAGGAAGCTCCCAAAGATGCTTTGAAATATACTGGATTCCAAGGGAGGCAACAGATAGTCTCACGTCAGCTGCAGGCTGATCCTGCCACACATCACTCTATCACTTTTGCGATGAGATTTCAAGAAACGTTCCCACCTGCACCCTGCTCACCAAACCTCAGCGCCCGCTCTCTCACATCTCCCATCTCACACAGCCCATGCACCCTGATGGGTAAGGAGACCCTGGGCCTGCCCTGCTTGCTGAGGTGTGTTAGTGCAGCTCTTCTTTCATACCACTATTGGCCAGAAAGCCACTCTGCTGCCAAAGATGCCTAACGGAGAGGTAATGTGGAACCTACTCCAGGTATCTTCCTAAAGTCATTTCAGAGTTTTCACATGGCAACAAAACTGGTCAGGGCTTAGGAATATCGTTATCACGTGGTATCTCATGACCCTTAATGACACAGCTGCACTGGAACCGTTTTGCTGCGACTTTGAGACTAGGTGGCTGCATAATCTCGTTAGCAATACGAGATCGTGACTAAACGCAAGTGGTGCCTCTGCCTGAGGTACCTGCCAAACATCTGCAACTTGCATTGAAGGGCAGAAACAGATTGGTTAGCACACAGATGCACACAGATTCCATCAAACAGAGCCAGGATTTTCCAAGAGCACACCCAATATTTGCTGTGATAGAGTCAAGCTGTTGTCATCACTGCTGTAGTAATGCCCATTTCAGGCTGCAGGCACATGCCAAAGGTTGCAGCCGATGCTGTCTTCTTGGCACAGAGCAGTCCAACTCTTAATGCATTTCCTTTTGACAAGATGTCAGTCAGTGACACTTCAGAGTTTTTAGTAAGCTCATCCCAGCACACAGATCCTGACAATGTTAGCAGCAAGTCTTGATCAGGTCCAGCCTGACTTCAGCAAGAAGGGTTCCTAAACGTTCCTGGGAATTCTATCCATCCTATTTTCAACCTAGAAAGCGCCTGTCCTGCCAAGCAGTTCACTTAGTTTTCTGAATGCAACAATAATCATTAAGAATTGTCAATTATTCTTAAAACTGAGACTGATTATATGATTTAAGATTTTTTTCCCTACTCTGCTATGCGACAGCGGGAGACAAATTCTGTGGAGTACAACTAGAATGTAACACAAAGTAAGTAGGCTTTCATGTGCCTAAGAACATACATAACTTACACATGTAAAATGCACTGGAGGGTTTGGTACAGTGTGCTTTGCTTTAATTCCGCTATTTACTCTCCCTGTTATTCAACTGCTAAAGCCATTGCAGAATGGAAACATATGTGCTCTTTAACAACAGACTGATTCAAAATTCTCCAGCAGTTTGCAGGTAAGTAGCCTCAACCATGCATATACTTACAGCCCTAAAGTATCCAAGCGTTATCCAGAATTTACACAGGAAACAGTTATAATGCCACTGCTTAACATTTTCCTAGGTCCCAAGACCAGGACCTCAATTATCCCAGTTGCTTAAATGATGTCAAATCTATTTGGATGCTTGTTCAAAGTATATCCTGTTTAGTACCACCCATTAAAGACTCCTGCTAACTTGGAAAACAGGAGCAGAAGTATTATAAACAGCATTACCAGGAGCCAGAAAACAGGGAAATGTCTCAATATAATAGGAAAAGAAATTAGATATGAGGCTGGATAGGCTAATTCTATCTTTTCCATACAGGGGCATCTGCATCAGGCAATGCTATTCCCTACCCTGCTGTGCTGACAAAGGCCTAGATCCCTACTCACATGGCACCAGAGAGCTTCAGGGTGAATCCCAGCAGTATTCAGCATGATTGCTGCTCCAGCTTGCACTTCCTCCTTCCTGTACCTAACACTGTTCCAAATACCTGCAACACCTCTAAGCAAGCATCGAACAAGTTTTGCAGGACTACCGTTGCCCAGTACAGCTGCCATTTGAGAAGTGGAGTTTCCTGGGCACTGACCTGATGTTCAGCCAGGAGAGCATGGGGGTTGTGCCTCCCCCCACAATCCAGACGGTGAAGAAGACGATAAGGAGAGTCGTTGAGAACATCATCTGATGCGAGTAAGTAGCAGTATCTCGGATGGCCAGAGCAAATGCCATGGCTCCCCGGAGACCTGTGCAAGAGAAATAGGAGAGCTTCAGAAGTGCATCCGAGCCTCATCGTAACACAGCATCTCTCCTTGCTCCCTTCCTGGCCAGACGGATGCAAAGCGATGGTGGAAAACACCGGGCTCAGGTTGTTTCACAGAAGTTCAGTTAGCAGGTTTACCTGCTGCTTCTGGATTGTTCTCCCATAGCTCATGGGAGCTGCCACCAGGTATCTACCACCCAGAACACTTCAGATATAAAAACAAGGTTTCCACTCTGCCCTGATATTTTTACTGTAACTTTCAGTATTTGCAAGCACTACAGAAAGGCAGGAACTAATGCAGACACTGAGTTTTAGATAACAGCAAAATGTATTTTGAAAATCAAAAGCTCCCTGAACGTAAATGAAAATGCAAACCCTTCCATTTGCCTCTGCAACTCAAGCATGAATTCTCGATATGAACAAGCTATCAGATGCAAAATGTTTCTTGGTAACACCACACTCATAGGCAGAATATACTCCTCCTGGATTACAAAACTCTAGCAGCAAGGGCATTTATGCACTTCTGCAGTAAGGGAAGAAGATGCACATGCACATAGATATGCACTCCATGATTTACTGGAAATGGAAGAAAGTTCAAGACTTATCTGTGTGACAGAAATAGTAAATAAATTCTTAGTCAAATACCTTGTTTTCTCCAACTCTGTAGGAGAGGATACTCAAACATCTCTAGATTATCTTGGCAGATACATGTTCTACAATACATGTATCATCTCACCTAGAAATAAGCTTTCAGGAAGAGATGCCTCCCAGCTCCCTCATCCCCTTGAGATGCTCAACATTTCAAACAAAAATATTCTGTTCATAGCTTGAGGTGACTGCTGGTTGCCAGAACCTGGCATTCCAAGATTTCAGCTCTTCTCAGACATGACACTTTCTGCAAAGGCTGAAAAATACCTGAGGGCAGGCTACTCACATGTTGGAACAGTTACAAGTATTCTAGTAAGGAAACACACACAAATTACAAAAAGAGGAGGTATTTCTATTAATTTCTCCTGAGTTAAAAAAGAACTTCTGTTTTAGCAAATATTTTTATGAGTTAAAAAAGAAGAACTTCTGTTTTAGCAAATATTTTTGTTCTTACCTGAAAACATCATCATGTGCTGAAAGCTCCAGCTGATCTTATGCCTTCTGCCCAGATTCAATAAGAAGGAGAGAGGGTAGATGTGTGCAGCTCTGCCCAGAAAGATTGCAACCTGTTCATAGCTGAGGGTTAAGGATCTCATTTTCCTGAAGTACACAGTTCTTGATATTTGGCTCTAATACAAAAATCTGTGTTTTAATGAGAAAATTACACAACAATATCAAGTGTTTATGTTATCCTTGCCTATATTAAAAGCAGATTTTCACAGTTGTGCATACACAGCTCATTGTAGTATAGAAGGCAAATTTAACAACCAATACAACCAACCTATTTAATGCACACTGGCAAATCTAGTAAAGTTACAAGCTATACAAATGAAGACTTTACTTGTAAAATCAGACTTCAGATAACTATCACCACCAACATCAGACTGTTTCAGACTTTGGTCTTCAGACTCTATTTCTGAAGAAAAAGACCAGCAAGCAGCCATTTCATTACAGCTCCTGCAGTGGCAAAGTCTCCCACTGGCTGGCACAAACTTAAGAATTCAAGGAAAGTAACAAGAAGAAAATCTAAAGACACTTGTCAACACTACAATCAAGTTCCTAAAGAGTAGGAAAAAAGTATTCCAGGCAACAAAAGCAAGAGGCGAGCGTTTCCCACCCCCTTAGTGTGACAAAGCATCCAGAGGCTCCAGTAAATGCATGGAAAGCGGAGCATTTTCTCTATCAAGTCAGGAACATGTTGCAACAAATTGCAACAAGGTGGTGAAATCCTATAAGACACCAACACTATCAGGAAAAAAACGTCTAACACTGTTTGCTAGTGGAATAACAACATTAGGAGATGAAATAGCTCTCTTACGGAAGAGAAACAAAACCACAGAAGAATGATAGACACTTTGGGGTTGTTGCCACAGCTAAATACTGAAGTAGCAATCCACTTTGCAGGGAATTATGTCTCCAAGAAACCAGGGTTTTTCTTATTCCTATTTTTACAGAGAAGTCAGACCTTTTTCTCTGCAACAGTTGGTGATGCCTCTTGTGTCACTTCAGCAGGGAAAAAGACTTGCAGCAAAACACGGGTGCTAGTACCAGCTGCTTTCCTCCCAAAGGAAGGAAAACACTTCAAGATGTGCAAACAGCAAGCATAGTGGGAGAAAGAGAGAGATAGGAAAAGTATTACAGAGGCAGGGAGGAAGAGACAGAAAGAGAATCATCTTCAGAGTAGAGATTGTGAGAAAGAAGAAGAAAACGGATAAACAACTATGACTTCATTTGTTTTAGGGAATTGTTAACATCAATCAAAATGACTTTGCTTTAATATATATTTCAAGGTCAAGAAGCCTATATACCCTATACATAGAATATGTAAATCTTCCTTAAAGGCATTGTTTTGTTTACACAGAACTTGCCAAATTGAAGCACATTATATAAATTGGAGGAGCAAGAAAACAGGCTACAGCAATGAAGATTCTTCAGTTCTGTAACACAAGAGTCCAGAAAACAGTACTTTAATTTTATCTCATACCCATATCGCCACATCTGCTTAAACTGTATAATGTAACATACTTCCTTCAACTGAAGGACAAGATTTCCTGAGTTCTTTTCCACAAATACACCAATTAGGCCTTGATTTGGGTTCTTTGAAAAACAGACACCTAAG